ATAGAGGTCAAATGAATCTGAAGCAGTTTACTATACATCATCAAGTTGACTAAAATACATTAATAATTCATACTGATATTTTATACAGAAAGTTCGAAAAATATTCTTATACCATAAAGATAAAACCACTCGAAATCTTTAAATTTGTCTAAAAAAAATATGTGAATTTTGTACTTATATTGTACCATTCAATACCACATTTTATTCTTTCATTTTCTTCCACATTATACATATTTAAATTATCGCAAGAAAAACTATCCAAAAAAGTTCACATATTAAACATGATAAACCAATAATTCCTTGAGGATACTTCCCCACCTCAAATAATATCTAAAACGTTTTACTACAATTATAAAAAAACAGAATAGAAAAAAAAAGAATAATTGTAACAAAAACCACCTTCATTGATAAAAAAGAACAGAAACCAAAAAGCAACAAGATTCATTGATCAAAACAAAACCAAAATCAAATAACTAAAATGCTCCTCCATTAGCTATAAACTCTCGAAAGAATAAGAGAGAACACCCGCATCCAGTTCGTGAGTGGAGGCCTTCAGCATGACTTATCCCGTCATGCTGAAGGCCTCCAAAAACGAAAAATATATGTGTAAGCAAAAACGAAAAAATATATGTATACACATATGTGTACATACAAACATTAAATTATTGATTTTGTTTTTTATTTTGATCAGTGCGAGTTAAACACAAAGCATGAGCAACAACATACAGACGAATGTAAAAGCTTAACAAAAGAGTAGCATTCTCTTCATTCTCAAATGATATCACATGTTGTCTTACATATCTGTATGTTATGTCTCATTGCTATATCAGCTTCAAAAAAATTATAGCATGATATATATTTTTCCCATGAACATATTGTCAATTTTAAAATAATATATTAACCCATTAGGGACCAATGTATTAATATCAATATATTTTTATTAGAATTAAAATGAAGACATTTGCTTAATATTTGTTAAAAAGAATAATTATGTAACCTCGAATATATTTTTATAATTATGTCCATTAAGAAATATATAATTTTTCATAGATTTTTTTATCTTTATATCTAAATATTATTATTACATTATGTTTTGAATAAAATAGTGTCAATATGAATCCTTAAAGAACTTATACGTTTCCTTGTATACCATGGGTTAGAGATCAGGAGTGACAGAGTATTTGGGATTCTACATACAAATTCAATTCCCCGTAGGATAAAGGTTGGCGAGGGTTAAGAGGGGTATCCTTTCAATATCATCTGAAAGTAGACTTTAACATAGGGTTTCGACTAATATCCGCACTTCAGTATAAATTCATGGTTTTTTTATTGTGGGGTATATTGTTTTATTTTTTCCAATTTCTTTCATTTTTTTCCATTAACTAAGTTAGGGAGTCTATAATAAGGTTTTGGTTTTGAGGCGAACAAGAACTCCCCCACCCGACTGAAGCTAGGGAATAAAAGGCTCCCACCGTTCTACCTCGTACCATTCTCCTGAATGCCTAGAACATTTAAAAATTTGCATTCTACGAATCATTTTCGTGTCCATTACAAAATCGGTCCAGATTTAGATATACTTCCCATATATATTTTCGTCCGATTTAATGTAAATGGTTCACCAAATACCCTATATATCTTTCGATTTGTACGAAATTTGGTATAGTGTACTGAATTGGGTCTAGAATGATGTTTGTTAAGTTTCCTGAAAATCGGTCCGGATTTAGATATAGCTCCCGTATATAATTTCGTCCGATTTCATGAAAATGGTGTACCAAGGTCCTTATACATCTTTCGATTTGCACGAAATTTGGTATAGCGTAATGAATTAGGTCTAGAATGATGTGTTTTTCAACCGAATTCACTAAAATTTGGAATATTGGGTTCTTATTGGGTACCACATATTTGGTATATTGGGTTCTTATTGGGTACCAAATATCTTCCCTAAAAATTATAAATATAAGTGCATTTTTTCTGGTAGCCCCCATATAAATTTCGGCATTTTGAGGTTCTTGAGCGCGTTTTTCAACCGAAATCACTGAAATTTGGTATTTTGTAGCCGTATATGGAAACAAATCTCCCTACCAAAAATTATTTATAGTCAACCCCTTTTAGGCGTAGTCCCCATATCACCCCATTTTTTTATATTTGGTTCTATATATAACCCGTATTTAGGCTTAGCCGTAGCCCCTGTGTGGGAGGTACTAGAAGGCATGGACCGATATTCCCCAAATTCGGACTTTAACTAAGTTTGGAAGACATAATAAGATGGGATGAAATCAAAATTTTCTGAAACGGGTTTGGCCCAAAGAAACATGGCGTCTAGAACCAATATTTCGATGAGGCACATTTTCACCGTGTGAAAGTGTATACACACTAATTAGCCATAAGGCTGAAGGTATCATTTTCTATTAAAAATTATTCTTTACATAATCGGTTTGTAGAAATGTCGATATAGGTCCATTTTTTGGTATGTTCCATATATTTTCATTTGGCATACATCATTCTAGGCTCAATTCTGTACGTTATGCCAAATTTCGTGCAAATCGAAAGATATACAGGGGATTGGGTGCACCATTCGGACGAATATTTATGGGAGCTATATCTAAATCTGTACCGATTTTTCCAAATTTCTATAGGTTTCGTCCTAAATGAGCTGTGACAAATTTTATACAATTCGGATTATAAATGCGACCTGTACTTTGTTTACAATTTAACACCAACAGACGGACTTGCATAAATCGGCTTTAAAAGTGATTCTATGCATATTCTCAAAAGGAATTATGTGTCTGTCTCGTTTCATTTTGCCTGTTACAAACATGTGCACAAAGACATAATACCCGGTACCACAGTGTGGTGAAGGGTATAATAATAATAAAAATCCGTTATAAAGTAAATATGTTATTTGCGTTTCAAATTGAAAATCTAGAAGACATTTACCGTTATAAAATTAATTTTCGAAGTGGCCCAGAAAAACCAAAAGTATTTTCGTCGTCCAGGGACTCTAACTAAACAGAATTGGTGCATTAGAACCCCTGAATAATTTTCGTGTCACACAATGAAATTATCAAAACCTATTACAAAAATAGTGATTCTGCCACAGCCATTATCGTGTGTTAAGAAAAGGTTATGGTTTACACGAGAATCTCAGGATTCTCTGAAGTAATTAAAGGGAGGTCATTACATTCAGAAAGTAAATATGTATGTGGTTTCAACAGGACGGTGCCACACAACTCGACCAAATATGTATTTATTGCAAAATATATTTCCTGGCCGTGGTGGCCCACCGTATACAGTCCGAAAATAAGAAATCGGGCTCCATCTTACGCATGTGGACATCCATGTTCTGCTTTAAATCCTTCCTAAAAATCAATTTAATAATTGTAAAATATATTGGGAACATTTTCCATAAAAATTAACAATGACATCAAGCTCATACAAACTATGTACTTATTAAATAAATATGTTGTATATTACTTTTTCGTACCACATTTCACAATTCCGTTCCGTTTCCCATTAGTACCATATTTAGCAATTATGTACATTTATCTATTTTCAATCCACAAAACGGGATTATGCTTTAGTTTCAGCACGACTGAATAATCAAATTCCAAATCAGCATATTGGAAATCGGTTGAAAACTTGAAATTCCTCAATAACTTTGCCAAGGCGACTTTCGTGGACATAAGACCATACTTCATTCCTGCGTAATAAAATAAAATTGAACAAATATTAAACTATGTTTTATTTATCGACATTCTTGCGATCATACCTATACAGTTCCGAATTCCTTTGTAAAGGGAATAAATGCATATGGATGTTTGCCTTCCAGGTTAGATGGCAGAAAATGGTCGGGATCAAACATGTCAGCATTGGGACCCCACAAATCCTTACGTCTGTGCATTGTGAAAATGTTAAGAAAAAATTGTACCCCAGATGGTATAACCATTCCATTGGATAGCTTAATATCCTGTGAATTCTCACGTGCTACGAAAGGTATTGGTGTCAGTACACGCATTGATTCATTGATAACCATATCCATATAGGTCATGTCTTGGGTATTTGCATAGGTCACATCAAAATCTCCTCCATCTGGAAATATCGTCAACAGTTCCTCGTAGACTTTTTGTTGATATTCTGGGAACATTGCCAGCAAAATAAGAACATATCCAATTGTATTGGCCGTCGTCTCGAATGCCTTCACAAAAATATAACATTAACATGGAACAATAATGGAACTAGTTTCGGAGAGAACAAAAATTACCGCTAAGACAATTGTACCTGATTCGTCTTCCACATGCTTCGCTGTAAAGATATTCTTTCTCATAAGTTCAATGGCTTGATCAATGAAAATGTTACTATTATTGGACTGTCCTTGCATCATGTTAGCAGTATCATTGTATGCATATTTGCAGTGTGAAAATATCCATTTAATTTGTTGCATATTTCAAATATGTATCATAATTGCAAGGATAATTTTTTGATTGTTTCAGTTACCGGTATTTCAGTACCTATTGTTCATTTTAACGTTTATTAATATGATATTTGTATAATATTATCAAATACATTTGATAGTGTTTTTGTGATGAAAAAATAGTATTTGTATTAACCTTTCTAATAAACTTGCGATTTTCTTCTTTACATGTGTGGAATGGTTCGTATACACCCCACAGCCTTCGAATTAAACTATTAGCCAACCATGGGGAAAGCAACATTTGAGTTACATTCTTGGTCATACTATAAACAATTTCAAATATTAAATATATTAGTTAAAATAGAAGATTTAAAACAAGAAATATAAATAAATCTGGACAAACGATACGAATTAAAAGATTAGAAGAATTTTATCATACCACTGATAGCTTTTTATTAGATCACTATTCGATCCATTTTCAATCCCAACATTAACTCCCATTGTTGTTCCTGCAAGACCAAAAAAAATAAAAATATTGATTTGAAAATGATGAAGAGCAGAACGTTAACTCACGTAGGGTTACATTCAATGTAAAATCTTGCAATAAAGTTATCACATCCGGACATTCATTGATATCTGTGAATAGCTTTACAACCTTATTCACCTCCTCATTAAATATCGGCATAAAACTCTGCAATATCTTAAAACTGAAAGCAGGATTCAAGTATTTCCTATGAACGCTCCATTCCGGATCTTAAATTGTGTTCTGGTTAATATATATTTTATTCTAAATTAGATTTGTTCTTCTTACCTTTGGAAGAAAGTAGACCCTTTCCAACTTTGTGAAGCGGTTTGTAGAGTACACTTTTATTCGCGCAGCAAGGCGATGTCAATATATCACGGATAATATCCGGTTCGGTTACAATCAATACGGGATAGGTAACCACCCATGCATACATTATTGGGCCAAATGACTCACTGTTTTTGTGTATCACATCCAAGGGATCTTTATAAATATAGATCCACCACTATACTTCAGAGACTAGAGAACAATCCAAACAATGGACTGAAGCTGGAGGAAGTGCCCCAAAGGAGGCAAAAACAATTCAATCGGCTGGTTAGGTTATGGCATCGCTTTTTTTTGGACTTCAACGATATTTTATTAATTGACTATTCGCAAAAGGGTAATACAATAAATTCAGAGTACTATTGCAACCTTTTGAATCAATTAAATGTAAACAATTCGAGAAAAACGTCCTGGCTTACAACACAGAAAAAAATGTTCATCAAGACAACGCACCAGGGCACAAGAGTTAACAATGTCTAAATTCTGCGAATTGATGTACGAGTTGCTTATTCTCCTGATTTAGGTACCAGTGACTTTCACTTGTTCCCAACACTAAAAAAATCCTTGCTGGCAATCGTTTTACCTCAAATGAAGATGCAATTACAGTTGTAAACCACTATTTTGAAGACCTTGACGAAACCTATTTTAATAAAGGGATAGAATTTGCTAGATAAGCGTTGGACTAAGCGTATTGAAGTTTCAGGAAATTATATTGAAAAATAAAAATGTTTTTGAAACACCAACTATTCTCTTTCATTGATAGGCTAAGAAGTTTCCGAACAGCCCTCGTATGAGTGATTAACCAAACCGATACAAAGGACCGTCGTGGGCCTTTATCCAAAAAAAGTTATTTAACCAAACCGAAATAAAGATCCGTCGCGTGTCTTGATTCAAAGAAAAGTGATTTTAACCAAACCGACTATATGATACCCTTCACCACTTTGGGTATATTCAGCATATGTATCCTAAAGTCGAAATTATATATGGAAGCTATGCTATATCTATATCTGAACCGATTTCAAGGAAACTTATCAGAGATTAATTTATATTAACATCAGTACGTTGTGTCGATCGGCCTAGCTATGGATCGTTAGTGCACCATTTACTTAAAATCGGACGGAAACCTGAACCGATTTTCACGAAATTTTGCACACATCATTTTAGATTTAAATCAGTACGCTATCCCAAAATCGAAAGATATATGGGGACTTTGGTGCACTATTTAGATAAAATCGGACGAAAATATATATGGTAGCTATATCTTAATCTGAACCGATTTCCACGAAACTTTGCACACGACTTTCTAGGCTTAATTCAGTACGCCATGCCAAAATTCGTGCAAATCGAAAGATTTTGAGGGACTTTGGTGCACCATTTACCTAAAATCGGGCGAAACTATATATGGGAGCTATATCTAAATCATTTTAGACTTAATTCAGTATGCTATGCCAAAATTCGTGCAAATCGAATGATTTTAAGGGACTAAAGTCCGTAAATCGGACAAAAATATATATGGGAGCTATCTGAGAATCTGAACCGATTTTCCCAATTTCAATAGGGTTCGTCCTTGTGCCAAATAAATGAGCTGTGCCAAATTTGAGCCAAATCGGATAATAAATGCGACCTGTACTTTGTTTACAATTTAACATCAACAGACGGACCGACAGACGGACGGACATGCATAAATCGACTCAGAAAGTGATTCTATGCATATTCTCAAAAGGAAACATGGGCCTATCTCGATTCCTTTTGCCTGTTACAAACATATGCACAAAGACATAATGCCATGTACCACAGTGTGGTGAAGGGTATAAAAACCGTCGTATACCTTTATTCAAAGCAAATTGATTTTAACCAAAGAGAAGTAATGAGCCGTCGTGGGCCTTTAAATAAAAAACAATTAAAGCAGATTTGAAATAAGGAGCCGTCGTTGGCCGTTATTGAAGTGGGAGGGACCTAATCCGTATCGCCACAAGTAATTCCCTCGTCCTACATCTTCAGTTATTTCTAATGCCAATAGCCGTATCGGAGCAGTAGCAGAACAAAGCCGGACATTGCCGACTTTTAGAATTTATGTATATAGAATTTGTATGTCAATTAAAGTTTCTAAATAAAGCGAATTATTCCGAATTTCGAAACTAACACTAGAACTTCAATATAAATTTTCTGTGACGAACCCTACCCCGCGATCACAGCCCATCAACCGGAAGTAACATGTCGCTGCTGTATTGACTTGAGACTAGAACGATCTGTGTTAAAGTTTTTGGAAATTGGTTCAGATTTAGATAGATAGAGTATATATTTTTTGTCCGATTTCATGTATATATACATGAAATCAAAGACCATATGTTTGTTGGATTTAAAGAAGATTTAGATTTAAATGTATTTAGATACGGTCCAAATTTAGATATAGAACACATGTATATGATGCATCAAAGACCCTATATTGTTTTAAGTCTGACCAAATTTCATGAAATTTTGCATAGATTTCAAAACGGAATATGCATGGATTGTCTGTCTGTCTGTACGTCCGTCCGTCCATGTATTTTTGTTAACAAAGAACAGGTCGCATTTTTGATCCGATTTGGATGAAATTTGGCACAGTTCACTTATTTGACCCAACGACGAACCCTATTGAAATTGGGAAAAATCGGTTCAGATTTAGATATAGCTCCGATATATATTTTCGTCCGATTTTATGTAAATGGTGCACTAAAGTCCCTATATATCCATCGATTTGCACGAAATTTGGCACAGCGTACTGAATTAAGCCTAGAACGACGTGTGTTAAGTTTCCTGAAAATTGGTTCAGATTTAGATATAGCTCCCATATATATGTTCGTCCGATTTTAGGTAAATAGTGCACCAAAGTCCCTATACATCCTTCGATTTCCACGAAATTTGGCACAGCGTACTGAATTAAGCCTAGAACGATGTGTCTTAAATTTCCTGAAAATCCGTTCAGGTTTAGATATAGCTCCCATATATATTTTCGTCCGATTTTAGGTAAATAGTGCACAAAAGTCCCTGTATATCCTTCGATTTGCATGAAATGTGGCACAGCGTAATGAATTAAGTCTAGAACGATGTGTGTTAAATTTCGTGAAAATCGGTTCAGATTTAGATATAGCTCCCATATATATTTTCGTCCGATCTGTTAGGATCCCATCTGTTGAATATATCCAAAAATGGTGAAGGGTATCAAGTCGGTCCCGTCCGACTTTACTACGTTTCTTACTGTTTTTTTTTTTTTTTTATAAAACAATCAAGCGTGTACTTCTCCAGATTATTAATAACATATTACACATTTCACACAAACCCTTTTTCACGAACTTTAGAGCACCACCTAAAATAGGATAACCCATTCGACCTGGTATTTTAAACATTAAAGCGTAATATTTTCGCCGTGTCCACAACCAGCATAGCCACGCTCCTACAAATAACACAACACAAATATACAAGTAAGCCATTTCCGACCGATTAAAATAATGAGAAGCGCACGTTTATGACTACTGAAGCGACGCGTACTATTAAAAGTTTACATTAGAAAAAATCAGCAATTTATAACTAGCAAATTTCAAATGATTAATTAGTTAATTAATTAATTAGGTCGAACATATTTCAGTATCTAATATTTACCAAACTCAGTTATTAATAACTAATTGACTAACTAATTTAAATCAATCTTTTGACACGTTGGGCACTTGAGCATGAAACGAAACGCTTTGTCGTAATGCTCATAAAGGGACCCAAAAAAAAATCGGTAATATGGGGATTTTTGGCCATCAATTCAACCGAATTGGCTGTAACTTGGTATTTTAGGCTCGCATAGGGTAAGACATCTTCCTACCAAAAATCAGTATTGACCCACTTTTTATCATATAAACCTGTATAACGCTATGCCCCAAATAATCTGTGTTTTGGAGATTTTTGGCACATGTTTATGACCATATAGCGGCACAAATTTCGGTATATTGGTTGTATTTTGGTATTTTGAATTCACAATGGATGGCACATGTTTGTGTCAATATTGGCCCATCTTATAGGATATTCCCCGTATAAAGGTACATTATCCGGTATTTCAGAGATCAAGGTTCTTAAACCCTACTGATTCTAATTGGGT